GGTCCGTGACTAACCGCCTCTCCGGCACCTGGGAGCGCACCACGTTCCATCGCGGCCAACTTGCGACATATTCTTGTGTGCAAGAGATTTTACCCACACGTTTTTACAAGGCATTCTTCCCGACTGTTCACTTTTTTGGCTCAAAAAACTAAACGGTCTTAAACGCGATTACGAGCTGGCAAAGATCTGAGGATGTTCGATGGTAGTTCAGTCATAAATGCTAACTCCTCCACATTGGGTCTTTTTAGGCATTGCTTTAAAGGTCTCATTACATCACTGAAAATAACGGTGGTTTAAGCGCTTACCTAAACCTCTTCTTACCTAAATTTATAGTGGAGGTGTGGCTTTTTCTCTACACTTTTCCTAATGTGATAATGCAACGCAGCCACTGAACGAGGTTTCTTCTCGTGTTTGCTTGTCAAAAAGCATATGAACATTTTAATAAATGCTAAGGTGAATAGAAAGTTAATGCGATCATCATGGTCTTAAAATTGACGAAGGCTCAATATGGCTTTCGTTGTTGTTCTGCACTTCTGAGGCTTCATTTTTGCAATACTGCTGCTGTTTTCCTTTTCAAGATTTCTTCGATAGCTTCTTTCCACATCTTTGGAAACTGGAAAATAATTTTTGTCAAAATAAAACACATTTTCCCATTATTAGTCGATCCTAGTCACCTCGCTTCATTAACTTCCTTCAAACATGGCAGTTTTCAGAACTAATCCTCTTTTTTGACATTGTGTGGTGCAACTTTTTGATACCGGACTTTTAGAATAGATAATTTTTGTATTTCCATCGGGCAACACCTTCTTTATATGGAACCTACTTTTACTGATATCTTGCGCAATTCCAACCACTTTATTCCACAAAGGCTTCCTCAGATTTTTATCAGCTAATGTTTTCCTTGCGCTTAGGAAAAGGCACCTGTATTTGCGTTTCGACTGTAGTGTTGGCAAACAAGCCTCTTCATGTGATTACGTACTGTATAATAACAAATGTTCGGAAGGATCCTTGCTGTTTTGGACACAGTATAAGGAGAATTTCTTATGAAATAGCTGTTCTTTACCTGCAAATGAAAAAGACTTTAGAGCACGGTCTTTCTCAAGACTCAAATTTCACATTTGTATTTGACAAGCAACTTTCCAACAAGCTCAGTGGAAACACTAATTCTTTTCTGAACCATTAACACTACATTATATACATATAATCTTCTCTGCACTATTTCTCAAGATATATCAAGCCCAAGAAAATTGTTGAAAACGCCAGACGACGTTGTTCCTTGTTGTGAATTCTTATTTCAAATGTCTTCACTTGTATTTATTGCCCATTCTTTCTTCATGATAGGATAATATGTGAAATAGATCCAGAAAGATACTGAGACATGTGCAAAACTTAGCACCATATTTGGGCTTGGAACCTGCGATAACCATTTCCGGAGACATACGTGCTATACTCAGTACCAATGATAGCACGCTGATTTGTTCTTATTTCATTCAGCAATTCCCAGCAAGGGTAATCCTTGGCATGAAGCCCACCTGAAGTTCCGAGTTTTGCTTATATCTCACCATCATTGTGGTAGCATGACAGACCTCGATAAGATGAAACGCAGGACTAACACATCTGCCATAATTAAGCACAATCAGAAGCCACTGATAAGCATCTTCGGTGTTCTTTCAAAACCAAACCACCCGCATTAAGCAACACAGCGTAATTATTTTTGCTATGACGAAGTACTAGCCAGCGAATCTCTACCTTTTCTCTTTCGCCAGTTTTGTTCTTCAGGATGGCGTTCTTCATGAAGCTATACAAAATATATGAAAATCTTGAGACATTCTAATTAGGTTAGTAAAAGCTATGATTTCGTCTCTCGTTTGCAAAACGCTTCATCTTCACGGTCAAGGTACAAACATATGTTCTTCCGTTTAGGCAGTCAAACGTGTTTGGTGAATACTTGGAAGGGTAATTGCAAGAATGTCGAAAAAATAACGGTAAGTGACTTTAAAACTCAAGTTGTCTCTCAGCTCTATAGTGACGAAACTGCTTCTTCGATAAATTTCGAAAATCCTTTTGCTTCAAGGGTAGAAACAGGCTCTGTAAAACACTTCTTTCAACTTTAATTCCGATAAGAAAAATCTCAAAAAAGCTGAGGACGAAATCCAAAGTCTTAAAATTTTCGACGCTTGTGTTTCAACAGAGAAAATCAGTGGTGAGCTACGATGTTGTGTTGCAAATAATCCTACATTTATTCAACTGCTTTCGTCTTCAAATTGCGGAATCCATAAAACCAAAATTTTACCTTTATGGAACAAGAGAACTAGTATTTGGTACATAAAGATCTTAGATTTAAATTATTAGTTGGCTCTTGGTAATAATCCGACACTGACAACATAGATGAAGAATACTACTCGCACTTTCAACAACTTCACCCTAGCTCTTTGAAAGCTAGGAGTTCGAAAGTCCTCCAACACTCGAACCGCTCCAACAGCACGGAATGGCACGAGACACAGGCAACAGCCAAGTCACGTCCGAAGTTGCAAAACAATGCAAACAGGCGATAAAAAGTCTTAAAGAGAGAAGAGCAGCAATTTTGGCAAAAGTTGAAGAGGGTAGAAAAGCGTTTCGAAAGACCAACGAAGATTCGTCAATTACATAACTAAGACGACTGGACTTCCACGCCTAGACGAAAGAGTTCCAGTGAAACAACGGAGAAGATAATTCACTTTCACTATTCGGATTTCTTCAATACCCACGTCCTCTTGATTTCATATTAAATTAAAGGAAACGGATACGTCACCCCACCCGCTTTCCGTACGAAGAACTGAACAGTACCTAGTTCAGACAGAATAACACATAAACGCCCGTTCAGAATGCAAGGTTCTTATTTACTTGAAGACCAGAATGAGTATGTCATTGTTCAGAAACGGTGACCTCAACAATATGGGCAACGATCGCTCTATCCGCTTGGTATCTGCTGTCTATAAACTCTTCACTCGAGTCATTCTGAACAGGGTTGACAGAACACTAGATGAAGCACAGCCACATAAGCGGGATTTCGAAATGACTAACTACGGTGGACCACATTCACACGATTACAAACTCGTTGAAGAGCGTGTGGTGGTGAACGCGCTAGCCACCGGAAACGGAAATGGCGCGATCGATCTCCAACGCAGACACCTGAGGTCTGGAAATTTGTCAGTGTCTTAAATTTTGCCAGTATTGTGGTTGCAACACAAATAACACGCTTCTGTGAAAAACTGCAATAGGCTTAATAAACAGAAAGTTAAAATTGTCAGAAAACAGTACTACACAGCCCTGCCGTATTGGGCGTTCTCTAATATCAACCTCCAAACGTGGGTGTTGGATTTCTTCACAGACAGCTTGCCATTATCTACCAGAGTAGATTCGGGGGATAATTGAGGTGGATTCTAACCACCCATTTACTAGCCATTCACTTAATTGCAGGCTTCGGCGAGTATCACCCATCACCTGTATTACCTGTAGTCCCGCTGGCCGTCGAGCGACTCGGGCGGGAGCCAGTAAATCTTCCATTTATCCCTGTCGCGTGCAAGAGTAGTTCAGTGGGTTCTGCTCGCTCCAGGGACTCGTCGAGCATCATATCCTTCTTCAAGCATCTTTGTGAAGCACTCTGACCATCGGCTCGGTGGTCTTCCTGCAGTACGTTTGACATCCCGAGAAATCCACTCACTAACGGCTCTCGTCCATCGGTTGTCATTCATACCCACCAGGTGTCCGGCCTACCTTACCTTCGACTGTTTGGCGTACAGAACGACAACCTTGATTTTGATCTTTGACGCAGGTTGGAGCTTCGGATTCCATCCTTTACATATGTGCAACGGGATACTCCTAGCATCTTCCTTTCGACTGCGCGTTCGTTAATGCTGAGTGACCTTTCATCAAGCTTACGCAGCGACCAGGTTTCTGACGCATACGTTAGGGCAGGAAGTACCGCTGAGTCTAAAAGGTGGGCACGGAATCGGCTTTTATTGTTCTCTTCACTACATCCTCGTTACTCTTGAAAGGTCCCCAAGCCTCTCGTTTTCTTCTGCTCAGCTCTGGAGCTAGGTCGTTCATCATATAGATTTCCCGACCTAGATAGATAAAAGTGGAGCATTCGAAGATATTCGTCCGTTGAGCGTGAATGGGGCATGCGAAACCAATGCGTTCTTCATGAACATCGTTTTCGTGATATTTAGTAGAAGGCCAATCTTTCCACAGGCTTTGTCAAAGTCGTCAAGCATACGTTCCGCTAGGCTAATGTTTGGTATTATAAGGACGATGTCATCAGCAAAGCGAAAATGGTGCAACTGCCGACCGTCGATTTTCGCTCACATATCATCCCATTCCAATGCTCGCATGACGTTCTACAGGGTGGCGGTAAACAATTTTGGCGAGATGGTAACGTCTTGCCTAACTCCTGTTTTGACGTCAATGTCAATATAATTGCAGAATAGTGATATCTTGGTTCTGAAATTTTTGTACAGCTCACGAAGATCCTTTACGTACTGAGTAGGGAATTCTTGTATAACAAGGGCTTCTAAGACTGCTTCTTTCTCAACTGAATCAAAAGCCTTCTGTAAATCGATGAGAGTGAGACAGAGCGGTTTTTTATGCTCTCACAATGCTTCAGTGAGCCGTGTTATAGTGTGGATGTCGCCCATCGTACTAAATTCTCTTCGAAACCCTGCTTGCTCACATGGCTGTCCTCGGTCTAGTGTTCTGTCAATCCTGTATTGGATAGCTTGTGTAAAAAGTTTGTAAACGTCAGACAGTAAGCAGATTGAGAGATAGTTGCCGATATCGTGTAGGTTTCCCTTCCTGAACAATAACACGGTCATGCTGGTCTTCCACTGAGTAGGGAAGCATTCAGACAGGTAACGTGTGAACAGCCGAGCCAGTGTGTTTGCGAGGTCGATTTCTCGCCCATAAAATGGCATGTCGGATTTCGGAAGAGAGAACCGGTGGCACAACATATCCATCCTCCTTTATTTCATATGACGGAAGGTGGACAGGCTATCGAAGAGATCCGAGTAGCATTCGTGAATGATCTTCTCCATTGCCTTTTTGGACACTGTAACTGTTCCTTCTGGGCGCCGGAGTGCAATCATTTTAGTCCTGTAATTAGCGAAGCTCCCGTGGGCTTTGCGAATGCTTTTCCCACCAACTGCAGCTTCGGCCATAACTACTGCTATTCTCTCTCTAAGATCTTTTATCGCCTGTCTACACTGTTTTGCAAGGTCGGAAGTTAGTTCGCGGTACTCTGCAGCTCGTGCGATTCCACGCTTACGTAACACCTCGAGTGTTTCTGGAGACGGACGTCTCTTGGTGATTTTCGAACTCTGATCTTTCATAGCGCTAACTTGAAGATGTTGAATGAGTCGATCGTATTCTTCGTGGATATTATGGACAGCGGCATCTTCCCAACAGCCGAGTAATGAATTGAATAAGTCTCAGTTTATGGTGGTTCTGGGACATCGGTTTTGTAATTTAGCGACCTTTTCTCAGACGGCGTTGAAAGGCTGGCGTCTCCTTGTCTCGGCTAGGTCGATGACGTTGCACCTTATCCTTCTTGCTTGCATGAGCAAGTCTTCTATCGAAGACTCGGATGGAAGTGTATGTGCATTGTAGGTACAGATCATCACCATAGTTCTTTGAAATCCAGGCAGCTTTCATTGGTCCTGAGATTTCAGCAGCCTCTCCGTACTCGTCCTATCTAACGCTGAGAAAATGGGGGCTCCTTCGTGGTCAGGGGAATGAGGCCCATTTCTTCTTCAACTGCGCTTAGCTTTTTGATACCCTCGCATAGTTTGCTGGGTTCTCAACGTGGGCGCTGGGTATACTCACGATAGCTTGCCAGGTTCTCCTAGAGTGGACATGGATCTTATTTGTTGGAGGCGGCTCCTAACCACCTCCCATATCTTTCCCAGTCCCTTGATTGCAGGCTTTTGGCCGAATTGACTCGTTGAATACAATCCGCTTAAGCATGAACGCACCCACACACGCATCCATGAATACGCGTAGCAAATACGAAAAGTATGTGCCAAATCAGCGCAGCAAAAACAGGGAGTCCATCCTCTGGACCCATCTGCGTCTCAGGGAAGCAAAGGTCGCTTTTGCTCCGCGATTAACCCCCTATCCGCCACCTGGGAATGCGCAACGTAACCTCGCAACTAACCGGCTCTAGGTCCCTCATATGAGAGAAATCCGTGGTTGGCGAGTATAACATATAAAATACAGTTTACATAAACGAGAACACCCTCATTCACACATGCATGAACATACTATGCAAACGCCGAACATATGTGTCAAATTGACACAGCAGGTACAATACCACAATCCTGGAGCCACCTGCGTAACACATAAGCACAAGATCGGTTTTGGTCCGCGTTTAACACGTATCGGCCACCTGTAGACGCTCCACGTAGCTTCTCAGTTTACCCCAAACTTATAGAAAACCTTGAGAATTTAGGTGAATGCGGAACATTCATGAACTCTTAAGAGTCGTGCAGCTCTTCAGAGAAAATTTTCTGGCTATAGTCTTCACATTGATCCACTATAACACGGCATACGACAGCAAAAATGGAAATCAACGCCATATTGGCCCTACTTGGTACGTCGTACATAACAATGCTTGCGGATTGGAACAACCGTACTACAACGATGTTGCCTTCTCGCTGACCACTAACTATTCCAAATGGTAAAAAATAAGGTTGATGGACAGCGTCACCAAACGCCGCGCTACAGTGATGTATGCAGTCATTTGATTGCAACACCAAAGAGGTCCGTATTGATAAGGGAATCATTTAAATCGTCGTTTTGCCGAGGACATTCTCCGCTTCTCCAATAACGCTGCAAGGGCAAATACAATGCTCACTGAGCTCAACGAAGCAGAAAATGGGACTACGAATCACTCGGATGAAAACGCAACTCAAAAAAGAATCTGATATGAGACGGAGCAGGTTATTTTGGATGGATCACTTATTGATGAGACTACGCCATACGTAAACCTGAGACGTTCAATGAAGACTTGAAGGAAGAACTAGGTAGGAAACAAAGAACAGCATGGACCGCACAGCAGTCTCTGACAGAGGTCACTAGAAAACTTGACGGTCCCGGTAAACGCGATCACTTGTTCGACGCAACACTTTTTGAAGTAATTTTTAAGACTACCATGCTAACAAAGAGTTGGTATAAAAGTCCCGCTCGGCTAAAGTTCCTATATTTTCTTTCTCAGAACATTTGTTCTGAAATACTTCCTCCAGCTCTCTACTATCTTCAAGCCCCTTGACGTCAATTTGTAGCATTTTAATGGTATTCATATTTCACCGTTGCTTTAGGATTGATACAATAAATCGACGACAATCGACTCAGGAATATGAGAACTAAACTGAAGAATACCGAAAAAAGACTAGAACATAACATTAAGGAGTGTACGGACGTTTGTTAACCAACCAATAATATTCGTTTATTCTGTACCTCGAAAAAGTAACATTTATACAATGTTCAATTGAATCTACAGAAGAACTGAAGGACTTCAAGAAAATAGTACAACTGCTGCAGTTTGGGCTAATAAGATCTACAATTACTGATGGATTACCTTCCAGTATATTATATTATTGACTCAATCGGTATTTCTTCTTCAATAGAGCAGTAATGAAATTGAATAAAGTACAGAAAACCGCTAATAATAAATGACGTGAAAATGGTAAAGCTAAATGTGTTCGGATCGATTTGGCGAAATTGGATTTTATAAAGACGCCTTATATAATCACAAAAGAGACAGACACAACAAAAAAAGCATTAGATTTACATATACGATGACCAAGAACAATAAAGTACATTAAAGTAGGATTTTAATAAAACGACACTTAAAAACATTGTCTGCAACACTTACGCATATAGAACTCTAGAATATCAAGATGACACAGACCAGGTGCACACTACGATACACACAACAATAAATCAGAAAACCTTGAAGGTGGAACTAACTGATCCACACCACAGTGTTCTAACCTCAAACCTTAGGCATAATCTCGCCAAGTAGGTAGTGAGCGATGAAATTTGGTAAAATTCGGGGTTGGCATCATGCAAGACCTGGCAATAATGACTAGGAGTGAAGAATCTAAGCATCAGTTTTACGAATCAAAGATGACCCGAAACTAAACTTAGGTCATCAGTTTGACGTAAGAGTTATAGTTTGACACATCGCGCTTGAGAATCTCACGAACGGGTCCCATAACACGCTCGAAACGGGCACGATCTAGCTTGATGCATTTCAGATGGGTCTTTGCAACCACGGTGGCAGCACGAGGACGATCAAGAAGAAGGGCAATCTCACCTTAAAATGTCACAAGTGGTAAATCCACGTTTAAATGGTGTATTTTTACAAAGCATAATTTGACAAATAACAATTTGTGAACAACTAACCAAAATAATCCGAAGAAGTAAGGTGACCGACAATGTCAAAGGGAGCATCGTCGCTCCGCTTCTGCAAGACGTCGGCTTCGCCTTCAAGTATTATGAAGAACTCATCACCGGGTTGACCCTAAACTATGTTAATAGCAATATAATGCAACAGCTCTAGAACAGCATAGCAGAAAAGAAATATGATCACCTGCTCGACAACATGTGTTCCCGGCTCAAAATCGCATCGCTCCAAAGCATCAGCGACATTCGCACGTTCCCACTTGTCGAGATCAGCTATAATATAAAACATTGTTCCCTTCTAACACATGACACACTACGACTAACGTAACGAAGCTGACTTGATCAGCACAGTAGATAAACTCACCTAGGATTTGTACCTTCGATAGGAATTCGTCATACATTTTACGTTTTCGCATTACCGAACCCATTAAAATACGACGGTATGATAAGCGATCGATAGCCCACAGTTTGACATCCGTCTAAAAAAAACTAGACATGCATTTTGTTCAAACATTACCAAAAAAATTACCATTACAAAGTCAAAAAAAACTGCGTCACATCTTCTAAAATATGCAGATTGAAAAACCTTTGCAACAACGGTGGCAGCTCTAGGTGTTCCATAAATAAGCGCCAACTCTCCAAATGATCCACCTTCGTTAATTGTAAGAACAAACTCGCTATTTACGAATACGTCGACCACCTGGAACAAATCTTACAGTATTACATATCTATTCATACAATTTACTAACAAGTTCAACACAAAAGAAGGAAAAGAAGGAAGAAAACCTAGTGCCAAGAAAGAAATGGAGCCTAAATTTACCTCCATGACAAGTTTTTTGATCAAACACTGCAAACAGTAGCAATCATCATAAAGATGAAAAGCATACCCCTTTGTCGATGACGTAAAAGTTGTCTCCTTCTTCTCCTTGCTCAATTATTGTTTCGCCCGCCTTCTTTTCAACTGGGAACATTGCATCGAACATTGTCTTGGCTTCATCCTCCTGATGCAAATATTGAATAACATGCTTGGCGATAAATGTATAACTTACAACTACACTTCACATACACCATATTTAAAATAAGGTACACGTACAGACAAATTTTCAACATGTTCACCAATAGCTATGTAGCTTTCTAAACACAAGAATAAGTGTAGTATGCAAAAATAAAGCAACATCAAGCAAAAAACAAAAAGAAAAAGTACAATTTGCACAAACCTCGAGGTGAGCGAACAGTAAATTTTTGCTCATAGCTGCCTCCAGCGATTTGCGCGTCGCCTCATCTTTCGGTATTACTACCTGCGAACACAATTTTATTACAAGACAAAAAAATCTGGACATTTTACACAGTGCGGTTAATCAAATCACTAAATAAATATACCTTCTACGATAAGTTTTCTTAAACAAATCAATTTCCTCTACACACTAATGCGGATAGTTCACCGGCACAAAAACTACACGTGCAATATGCAATGATTGTAAATTACGTTAAATAATACAGTGACTAGTACAGCAAAAAAAGCTGAAAAGCTCTCGGTGTTGAGAAATTCTTGAGGGATGTGTCATGCATTCGATTTCACTACGTATTGTTGGCGGTGACTGAATTATCTGGCCTTCACAATGACTCGTGGTGGCCTACCGATGTATCCAGTCAGTGCTGCTATCCACCCAGACAAGTTTGGTACCAACTTGCCGACCCAGGAGGGATGGAAGGCCTGGTGAGCCTGGATCTCGCGGATCGATCCCATGTGTATTGCAGGGCGCCTCCGACCACTGCTCAACACGCGTCCCCTAAGTACAGTAGGAAGGCTAATTAAAACAACTCATACTGCTGTTTATACAACATATAAAAAATAACCACTCCTAAAAGTGTTTTGAAACAACTGCTTTTCACGCAACTTATAGGTGTATTTTTTGGAAGTCTTAATTGGGTTTGCTGTTGAGTGTACTGACCATACGTGAGACCATACGTGAGACGTTGCTGAAAACCATGATGAATGGTGCATTTAAGTCCCAAAGTGCTTGGGCTAACAGCTCGTTCTATCACAACAATAAGAAGAATTTGACTTAAAAAGGTAACAGCGAATTTTCCGTTCCGTTAGTTCACAGGTGGCCTCACCAAGTGTACCGAAAAGGGCTCATGGTTCTCTTCTGCACAATTCTCTCCTTCACACTTTTCTCCATGTTAACGGAACAATCAAGGTAATCGTATGGTGGACCTCTGTAATTAGCAAATCACCTTTGTCTACTTGGTTTTCATAGAAGAGTGGGTTTGGGTATAAATTGCATTTCACCAGATTTATTCGACAGTCTATCTTCTTCCTCTATTTGGACAACTTCTTCAACAATCGCCGCTTTAACGATACTCCCAAAAAGATGATTGCCGTATGTAAAAAAAAGAAGATTGTTAACAATTTTCCAGTGCAGTCAATGGTGTATGCCTTTTTCGGCTCAAATAACGGCGAAAAAATGCCGACCAGTCAGATCCATTTCTTCGAAGATGGTAAGGGAACGATGGAAGGGTTGTGTTACCGTGGTACGATTGTGATTTTGGTCGGTGAAAGACCATGCAGAAATTGTCCACTTCTTGGTCGACAAGCGCTGACAAAACAGCATTCGTATCTGCATGAGAGCTTTTTTTGCATGAAGCAAGGTTAGAACAGGATGAATTCCCAAAAAAATCCCATACTCTTAAGAACCGTTTGTATTAAACCCACAGATCCCTACAGACCTGCCTGCCTAACTGATTAGACTTGATCTAAAATTTTCGATAATCCCGAAATGACAATTTCCGTGAAGAGCTCGAAGAGGACAACCACAGAACTACTTCCATCTTCAGCACGATCGACGTGAATTAAACTTCGTTTTGAAGAAGATCTATAAAGTAAATGCAAAAACTGGAAAAAAGGGCAACCAATATGCCTGCACTGAGACGAGATTTAATCCGCAATGCAATAAAATTGAATATGAACTAACATTTATATCTGTACGACATAGCAATCCTCTGTATTACTTGAAAAAATACCTTTTTGTACTCAGTGTCATCCTCTTTGATAGGCTCCGCTGATATACCCGTACGACGTCCACCAGTTCGCTTTGGTGGCTCAATCATTATATCATCATCATCCTGAGGGTCCTGCTTCCGTCCAGCTTCCTGTAACTATGCAACTATTTTCAACAATAAACATGCAATTACTTAAGCAATGATGCATCAGACGAATGAAAGACTACTGAAAATCTGTCTGATCCATAGTGGAAAAGCAATCCACTAAATCGCAGAATTGTTACAGCAATCATCTACTGTTTCATCCTACTGCGCTGTGTGGTAAGAATGCTGTTAAGACAATGAAATCAATATGACCGCTGGTAAAGCCACTAAATTTTAAGTCAATCCATAAGTATCACTACACTCACAATGAATCTCTGAAGAAATGGTTACTGCTAATTCTTCATAAAAATCTTTAACCATTTTAAAAAATAACCGTGAGGAAGAGTAAACAGGAACATCCGAAATGAATTAAGCTGAGATACTTGAGTGTTTATGAAAAGGATGGTATTCTTTCATTGACAACCTAAAACGAGGTTGACAGAAAAAAATATTTGACTAACGTTTCTGCGGCTTCCCTTTTTCAGAGCCAGATTGATCCGAGTCGACTGTCAACAGTTGTTTCTTCTTCCACCCTGGATCCTACTGACCGCCTTGAGTCGAACCCAGTCCAGCACCGTCCGAATGAAAAAACCTCCATCGGCAAGCCTCTTTTACAAAAGACGGTTGATAATCCCGACTCCCCGTTGTTAACCGCTTGTTTTCCTTTGGACAGTCCATCCTGCAGTCATCCGTGTTGCTGGTTATGATGGCACTGCTCCAGTGGACTCAACTAGCTGAGATCACGATGCTCCATATTGGAAGAAGGAACAACTACAGACAATCGACTCGGATCAGTACACTTCTGAAAAAGACTATGGCGCCGACCGTTTTAGCACATCAATGAAGAAATATATATCGCTTAGTCATACCGAGAGTCTAAAGGAAAATCGGTTTTCAAAAGGATAGTGTTTACCACTACTTTTCAAGTCAAGTATGTTACTAAAGGAAACTGTACACGTTCGTAAGACAGTTACATCTTTATCGCTAAAAATGTGTGTTATATCAACCCGTAAAAAAGTAGGAATGCTAACGTGAAAAATGTGTATTATGTGGGTAAAGTAGGACTAATAATAATTGCTCACTTTAGAAACAATGTGAAACAAAACTCAAATGTTTAATGATTAAAGTACTGTGACTGGTTCCACACTGGTTAGCGCAACTGCCGGGATAAATTCACATGATGTTTTTAATTACGCCTTTTAATAAAACTTTATAACTTAAACGCTTCGCTCTCAAAGAAAGACATCATCCAGTCCACATCACTGTTCAACTTGGCGACAAACAAACAGCCGGCAAACAGAAAATAAAAGCTACCGACTTGGTATTATTTGGTGGCAGCTCCCTATGATAAAGATGATGAGGCTAAGACGGAATCCGAACCATATGTGAAATAAAATTTAAAAAACCTTTTTTCAACTTTTCAACTTGAATCGGAGTATTTGGCTCATTACTGACTAAGACCGTCCCTTGGAGACATATACTTCCAACCAAGGTCACATAGTAGAAACAAATTACAGCACATATAACAAAATCAGCTGAATAAACGCAGAAATCATTGCCAGCTCGGAAGAATTCGTGTCGAACATACGTCTCCCCGACAAACAAGAGCTAGCGAATGTTGAGGACGTGAGGACACTCTAACGGCTACCTCAGGAGCCTAAAAGAGCTCGCGCTCGACCTGCACTCATGGCATTACGGAGATGATGATACATTCTCAAGCTGTACAGAAAACCATATTGGGAACTGATCACGTCCACGATTGACGCCTGCAACAGAACTAAACGAATGGAATTGCAACAGCCCTCACGTGACGGCCCATCTAGGTATATATTCATTGATGCGATAAGAAGTTAATTAAAAACAACCGCAATCCTTTTCCGCTGCAATAAGACCAATACGTAAACTTTCAGGCTCAACTATACCATCTTCACAGCTTATATTCTAAATGAAATCATGTAAATGTGTTCTTACTACACTTACAACAGAAAATGAACCACTACGAAGGAATTCCGAGAACTTCGATTCTTCAACACATTTCTGTGGAAAGTAAACCAGCATGAAAGTGACATCTATGAACTGATACCGTCAATCGACTAACGTTTGCAAGGTCGACACTTAGCTTTAGATTGTGAGTGGGAAATTATGTCAAACAGATAATGTTTCAGGACTCATAAAACTAACAAGTTCCACATTATCAAAACCAAGTAAGGATGTTATTTGTAGTGCCTTGCAAGCAACAAAAAATATTACTTGAAAAAAATCTGTCAAACACGCTTTCTAGCCCACAAAGGCTTCCACCACTTCAGGGTCGGCAAAATAGTACCAGAATTGTGTGTGAGGATGCTAGTACTGTCTCGACACACTGATAGGCCACCGCAAGTTATTGTAACGGCCAGACGTATTCAATCATCCCCAAAGACGCTTAATGAAATCGAATGCATGGCGCATAGCTAAGAGATTAATCAATGCCGAGAGCTTCATCGTCCAACTTTAAAGACGCTTTATGAAATATTCCAAATGTACCAAACGCTACTAATGTTAAGAAATAACAGTAAGACGCGACAGAACAACTGCAAAGAAGTGGTTCCAAGGAGATATAATGGCAGTCCTACCACTTCTCACTACCGCCATGGCGTGAAATTTATGAACAGAAAAGAAAATATATTACTAAATAACTGAAAAACAAGATGATTAGCAAATGTTCATCCGTTATTCCTGAAAACATATGTTCCATTATATCGAACAGAAAACTGAGCTACTACTATAACCGACACATTTTCAACCACTTCTTCACAGCGCTCATTTTTCGACGACTTCCAACAGCTAGAGCTCTTGAAGAGTTCAGAGCTTCAGAGACTTGTAGAAAGGCTTTGTCCTATCGCCATCAATGTCTAATATAATATTTGAAAAAGTTCTCATTTTCAACTTGTTCAAAATTTAGAAGGCCATAAAGAATCAAAACGAAAATCGAAACTTAAAAACCCTTAACATAATTACGGTAACCTCAAATATTAATGATATAGACGGCGACATCATAGAGTGGACACCATAAAATGGCGTAAGGAAGCGAAAAAATACTTTCATGGATTCAAAAAATCAGGGTTTTACTGTCTTCTCTAGACAAAATCTTGTATTTCGGTAGTCGAGATTTGTAGATTCCACTGATTCTTACCTTTATCAATAGAGGTCATTACAATCTATTTATGCAAATTTGAAAGGCACAAATTTCCTGTCATGCTTGTACTGAAGTAAATATCGTCTCGATCGTTTCAAAACTGTCGTGAATAGTAAAAAAAAAAAAAAAAAATAAACGGAGTTGAATAGTTTCTGTACGGTATTTCGCCAGTCGTTGCACTAAAACAAAGGCTTGAATGGCCAGCAAAAGGCCTGCGTTATTCCTTTAATTTCAATAACCCCTATTTAAAATGAAAATAAGAAAGGATAGAAGAATCAAAGTAGGCACCACGTATGAACCACATCGAAAATGTCCGACTAGTTATTATATTAGTATCAAACATCGATCATCAAGAGAAGAGAAAACAAAAACCACCGTACAACTCGACCGAAGGATATGCAATGGAACAGAAATGCTGGAATTTAAATGATGATGATTAACATCTTTGACTCTGCCAGGAACAGATCACAAAGCGGCAATACTACACATTCACCTCCAGAAGATTGTGAACGGATTAGGTGAGATGATGAGCATAGCACGAGATCAAAACTTACCGGTTGAGCTGAAGCCAACGATACGGCTACTTTAGTACGTGGAGGGTTTTCTGCTGCTGAACCGCCGCGTTGACGTGCACTCAAACGCTGTCCCATTGAATTATGAAGCAAATGCGGAAAGCATATGTAGCGCCTTGGTGGAGAAATAACGCAGATTCGGGGGCCAACTGGGACGCAGCCCGACGACATAGGCCGGCTCCAGGCTTATCGATTGCGATGCCGATGCTGGGCGCAGACTTACTGCAGCTGCACCACTGCAGTAACAACTGCGATTCTGTCGTCGCGTCCGTCGTCGCTCCATCGGGTTCTCTCCCTCGCTCTCGTTCTCTCTCACAAAGCACTGTTTTTTCTCATTTGACATCCGAAAATTTCGCCCGTATCCCTCTGTCATCATCAGACACCATCTTCCTGGTGTCGTTTTGTTGCGGACCTCTTCCTGTGGCGTACAGTGTCCGTAACACTTGCTAAATTCAGCAGGACATCTAACATTCGTATACCCCATCGATGACAAAGTACCAGTTTTCTTATGTTATACAGTTACATCCACGCCGCACAACAGAGAATGTGGATACACAGAATTACAGACACCACTTCTAAGCTCTAAAAGAGTCCTAAAAAAAACTTAAAGTGAAAGCCAATTTAAAGCCAACATATACAAAACATATGATATATGTTAGCTTTGTTACAATAACTTTTACGGGAACAGCTCCAAAAAAATCCTCAACCAAGCCAAAACGTAACCTGATCTTCTATCCGATTCATATTATTCTATTCGAAACATTTCAGAACTAACAAAAAGAAAACCACAGCAAAACAGAAAGAAAACAGTAAGGTAGTTGGAAACAACAAGAACAAACGTCAGAAGCACGCACCTCAGTTCGCTGCTCGTTAAGTTTGTCGAAGTGCTCCTTCAAAAATAGTACGGGATTCTCTGGCTTATGGATACAGAGTGCGACTGAAAACGATGATAGTTTGCGCCTTTAATGCGATACGTACTCAGTATAACCACCACCAACCGCAAATGAACGTTAGTTTTGTCAAATGAGAAAAAAACCGGACCAAAAAGAAAGCACACCACTAACAACTTACCAATAGCCTCCTTAACAAGTTGTTGAATATTATGTCGTTGGACGTAGGCTTGACATTGTGCCAATTGAGCTTCTTCGTTGCCGCTCGACATATCCGAGCAAGCTGTAAACGTTCAAAAATTTTAGATAAATGCTAAATTTCTAAAGCACACAACACGACAACTAATCGATAAGAACGAGAAAGACTAAATTAGGTTTTGATTAAACGTAAACAACCAGTGGACAAAGTACGCTCGTTACACGATTATTCCAAGAAAGCAGATTAGCATAAAACAGTTAGAGGATGATAACAGTCACAATGCTGAAACAACACTTGATATCAGAACGAGCGGGATCAGATGACGACCTCGTGGTCAGAAACTGGGCAGACAACAACAACGAGGAACGAGGAACGAGGAATGATGCACTACGAAAGCGGTGACGATGTCGGAGCAGCAGAAGTGCGGACAAGCGGGTCGAACGGACGGATTCCGTCGCCAGGCGTGGTGGGTGGCGTGCCCGCGGGCGGCGAGCGCCTGCCATGAGGTGAGGGCGCGGACAAGAGCGAGAGGAACAGAGAGCCGGGCGGAGGTCCGGCACGTGGCCATCCAACCCTCCATACTGTAGCCAGCAGAGCTTTGTGGATCCGAGATGCTCCGTCATGCAACAACCCTCAACATCTCCACTAACCCCGGTCACTGGCTCTCACGGGTAACCCGTCGCGGCCGTCGCTGCTGCCGTTACGCGTGAAGAGGTCGTGGTAAACTCTTGGCGAGGTTTCACATGCCCTGGGAGTTTTCTACAGAGATTTCCTTGTTTCAGGTGCTTCTTTCTACTTCACTTATCCGCATACGAACACGAAAACACAAACATACCCAAGATAATGAGTACATCTACAGACAAACATGCAGACGAAGATGAAGCAGTACAGACAAGGATGAACGAGCAGTACATACAAATACGAAGATATCCGACTAGTATTACGACACACAAAACACACACATACGATGAGTATTGGTTGAGGGACCAGTGCCCGACACAATTTCAACGAACGATCTCAGCAAGCAGAGGAATCTTCAGAGATTCGATTCAGGGATAAGAATGGCAGATGAGAAATCCTAGGACATGATACGGCAATGTGTGCGTGTGTGGATAGCACTACAGGAGTTTAGTAGTCTCTAAACATCAACAGTCGAATGATAGCGCTGCGGCAGTGAGAACAATATGGAAATGAGGTGTGGGGGGACCAGTCGAAGCATACTACGCACGCCGACACAACCATGAACGTCACAGTACACACACGTCTTACTGAAAGTACGAATGTGTAGGACCTAGACAGAAACAACTTTTCCTCGAAGGGATAAAGATGTTATGACCTTTGATTGAGAAATTTACGTGGGTTTAGCGAACCTTCTCATTTTATTCGCAAACAATGACCTACATTTCCACCTCATCAGAGGATGAGCTCATATGGAACGCCAACCCAAACAGTACCGTGAAAGGGACGAGCTGCTCCCGAAGCCAGATCGATAGTTCACTAAGGTCCGTCTCGAACTCGCGCCGCTTGCACGCCTGCATCGCACACGTGCAGCGCCAGCCGTCCGTCTCGGCTTTCGCGTCGCCTCGCGTCGCGTCTGCACCGTACATTCACAACCTGCGCATCTAAGTCCGACGGCCACAATTCGAACGCTCATTACGGTTACTTGGCAACAGGAAAAGGGTGATTTGAGGAAAACAACTTTACGGACATTCGCTAGTTTGCCACAATGTATAGAAGGGTGACGGGTGGCTAGCATGACTGACTCGAAGCTTACGGTTAGTCTTGGTTATTGCATATTGTCTGTAAATTGCGATCTCGGTCGTACTCCCATTGCTCTTATACTCATGAACCAAGTATGAGTCCTGTTTCTGAAAGATTGCATACTTTGTACGCGAAGATTTCATAGTGTCTCAAGCAAATTTCAGTGTTGGCTGGGTTAAAGAGCGGCTTTTGATATGATTACATCCGTAGTTGTACGGCATGTTACGTCAAGTATATCTACGGTTTCTAACACAGCCGAACTTCTGTTCGCATTTGGTGGATATCATGAAGCCTAATCGATCTACATGTCATGTCATTAATTGTGTTCTTGGTCTAAGCTGATTAACCATGTCTTACTGTAGTGTATCGTAAGCACTATAAGACCACCATAACTTCCTTTTGTTGCTCTTCGCTTTTTAATCGGTTGTGCTAATTTTAACTTATAAGTATTACCACTGAACTCTGTGAACATCCTGCCCTTTCTTCAGCGTCATAACAGAGTTTCTTGCAGTAGTAATACTAATAGTGCACTCAGCTTTCGTTAGCTTCGAGCTACGTAGTAGGTGTCCTTTGTTTAACGCTCTAGTCAAGGACACAAGTATTCACTGTGTACTAGAATTTTCACCGACTTGCATTCCAGAAGAAAAGACCACAATATTTGTTTCGGTTATAGGGGTATGTATCTAAGCACGCAAAGCAAGCAAAGATCCTGATTTCTGTCTATAGCCAGTGTTTTTGGTTAACGAAGACCCACTCCATAGTCTCTAAATTTGGTCACATTAGTTTTTTTATCCCTTAAGAAAGTTAAGGCCTGTCCGAGTGAAGTAGTTGAAACTGTGTCGGACGGCATAATACAGTATGTTAAATTTCTGTTTTGTGGAGCATTTCAAAATACCTTTGGAAGTAGCCTTTGTGATTTATGAGTGGTCACTTTCTCTGTGCAGGTAGTACCTCATTTTGCAGTTAAAATACGACATCCAACGTCACTTAAAGTCTATAATGTGTCTAGTTACTTTCTCATCCAAAAAGTAGAGAAATATGCTTCTTAAGAAACTACCCACATCAGATTTCTAGTTGAACGACACTAACAAGTGTTTTGCTACAAGATACTTTCCATTCGATGGGATAGTTACTGCATCAAATCATTCTCTACTTGAAGGTTGCCGTCCGTGTACGCCCACTCAGCAGTACGGAAAAGCAGAAGCGTCATTTTCAGTGTGTCTTTCAACTCGACAAACAGGTTTATCCACTTTGTTTTTTCCGTACGGGAAAAACTATCGTGCAATTCCTCATCACAGAGTTCGAAAAGTACCACTTACTAAGGAATTCTTCTGTGCTGACGGACATTTTGAATAAAAAAACATTTGATTTATTGAGAAGTATCAATCCTATGTTACATTTGGTTCGGAAGTATAATTTTAGCGCTTGCTGCTTGTCGATCCGGAGAAATACGGGAATGACGTTCTTCGCCAGAATCGTCAGCACGAAAGGCAATTTTCGTTCGATGCAGCCTTCGGCCCAAATTCAACACAGGTCAAACAATCATTGCTACATATTGTTGAAAAAAAAAAACATTCTAAATTGCTAAGACTGACTTTCTAGTAATCTCGCTTTCTTGACAATCAAAGAGGAGATTGTTAGCACAATATTTATTCTACAATGACCCACATTAGAAAGAGTTCATGCACCTGCAGAGGTGGAATTAAAAATGATGTTTTTTGAAGGAATCTGTTTACCATGCGATTGAAATCTAGACGTAGAGTTTTCTTCCTTTATGACTGCTAAAGCAGTTGACTATGTAAACCACATATCAATACGCTATGTTCTAGGCTATAAAGCGAAATCGGCGGAATTGTTAGCAGCTGAGGGATAAATGCTGTGTTAAAAACCTCGTGTCTGCTTATCAAGAAAACGTGGATCTCTATTCTAGTTTATTTGTAAGGAACGTCTTCCTTGATGGTGTGCACTGCTGTAGGTGTTGATGAACTCGAAACTAATATTTTTGCAACGTAGAACAAAACGAACGATAGAATGATGGGGAAGTTAAAATGAGCTTCTAACTTCCATTGGCTATTGCTCGTAACGTGGGCGGGGTTCGTTTCTGTATTATCAAATTAGTCAAAGAGTGCTTTGAAAATTATAGTCAATTATCGGAAATCGTTAGTCTTCGAGGAAGCCTGTAAAGCTGAAGCGATTACGTGGCTTCTTAAGAGCCACTTGTGATTTAAGCAGCTTAGCCATTTGTGAAGTGCTTCCGCTGTGTTCTCGACATGGATGTTATAACCTTGGTGCATCGCATCCACAAGACCGTCATTGTGATCTTCATTCTTGCGCTAAATGACAACGATTATGATCTCCGCTGATAAGGAATTGCTCCTGAAAATAATGTAGTGTCATTACTCCCTGCAGACAAAGTATGTGGTCAATGGTCATCCATGCTTGGAAGGACAACAAAGTGTGTTAATTTCTGATGTTATGTTCATCACCAAAATCTTAAGTTCAATCCTCTGCAAAGGGGAACTCTGATGACATGCCATCTCACAAACTAACCGTCATTTAACCTCGGTAATGAAATAACGAATGTGTTCAAATTGTTGATCTTACACGAGGTTGATAAATTAGCTTTATTTGGCCGACGTTTCAACATCTTCGTCTTCATCTGAGCCGATGGTCCGAGTCAATGCTCCACAGTTGGTCGCCTTCTCGATGTGGCATCTTCGTCGTCGGATCGAATCGGATCTTCATCAGTAGTGCACCACTCGAGTGACGATTATTCACGTGGTTATCAGGAATGTTTCTGGAACGATTCCACTTCCCATCATATCGTAGTCTGTCCATCTAATAGGTTTCAGCAAAATAAAAATCATCAATATTCTTAAAAATCATGGCAACATATCGCTTTCTTTTCCTTTTCGATGTTTCTCCGACCTTCATTTCAGTGGCCGTTGACGCTCGAAAGTAACAAGTAACCGATCTTTGTGTATTAGTTGTCATATTTTACTGCTAGGCCTCTGTGAAAACTACTTCGTTTGTTGCATTATAAATTTCCTAAAATCTTTACTAACACTTTTGAGCCATGGGTAAAAGGTACTTCTCTGTCCTATTTACATTTAATACAGTCGTCAGTGTTTCGCTCCGAGCCTTGACTTTCATTGGATTTTCCTTTAGTTGGAAGTTTTGTACCCAAAAGATGCTATGCCTGATCTGAGGGCAAGGGACTTATGCTATTCCCGTGCAAGCGGACTCTATTTCCCATTTAGAATCCAGAACCGGCCAATAAACGATGTTATTTCGACGCTATTAGGTTTTTCTTTGAAAAGCGCTCATGCGAGACAAAGGCTACTTTGAGCAGTCTTAAGATTGGTTAAACACTTTTATTATTTCTGGTCACCTTCCATAGATTTATTTCTAAACAAAAAACCTTTAAAATGTATAAATTTTTGCGTCATAATATGGCAAATCGGTTTTCGGTTTGTTGGTAGTCGCCGTTGAAGATAAAAACTAGTTACAAAAATATTTCTGGTTTGGAAACTTTAGAAAAAAAGGCTAGTGATTGAGCAAGTTGCTGGTCCATGGAATCCGTCAGAAAATCCTTCTTTAATGGATGAAGGCGTGTATTACTATAATTTGCTTAGCTGGTTAACATTTCCTACTCCGTGATTCTCTAGTTCCTACTATGTTAGAATGAGTGGAAATGTGGGAGACGCCACAATTCATGGTACCTTGGCTCAGAACTGACTCGCCATCGTGAAGCGTAGAGTTTTAAAGAATGTTCCTCGAAAAAAAAATCATTTTAGAGTGTATGTAGGGAGTGGACCATTTCCAAGCAACAAACGCTCCATTTCAGATGGATATCCACGACGCAACAACCGCCTCATTGATAAATTCCTTGTTAGCTGGCTACAATGCAACAGTTTTCGCATATGGAGCAACTGGCGAGTATAAAATATTGTGTCGTACAGTTGTGCTTAAGTGGTTAAATGGAATGCTTTCTTCATGCAACGAAATATCAGAAGTGAAGTAAAAAGAAACCTCACGAAGAGAATGCAAACAGAATGCGACCCGCGTTCAACATTTCGGACGTACTATCAGTTTGTGTCTGGCATTTAACTACGAGGCCTTTCTTTTCAATATCCATGATTAGAAACTCGTCAGGCTCTAGTTTGACATGAATATGCTCCTAAATTAGATTAGCAATATAATTGCCAATCGGTTTCTTGGCTTAAGTGATATTCGTACCTCATCGTGTGGTGGTGAATTATTCTGAAGACATTCGAGTACGTTCGATTAGCGTAATGATATTTTGTAAACAAAATTATTCTAGCTTTATAATTACTAATTTTAAACTTTAAAATTTTAAATAAACTACTAATTTGAGTATTCGGAACTTGTCTTACGGGTTATTTCCACTTATGGGAATATCCAAAATTGAATTGGCTGAAATTGTGACACTTTGGGGTAGTATACGGAGTAAAATAGAATGTCGAATAAGTTGAAATCCTAACTCATTTGTAAATTTATTGGAATCCTGAGAGGGTTATGTGTCTGCAGAAGAGAGGACGATGATCATTGGCTGTTATTACATGGTACCATGGATGCATAATTCGCATAGTTTTGCTAAATGTCACATCACAACAATAGTGTTTCGTCCAGGGTTGATCACGAAATAAACATGTTTTGAAAACATTTTTAGGATCTGGCAAGACTTTCACGATGATAGGAACAAAAGAACGACCAGGGCTTATGAGCTTGCTTACTCAAAGTCTTTACCAAAAAATAAGCCTTGATGATTATCAAGTTCAGCTCTCTTATCTTGTAAGTGATTTTTATCTAGTCTTTTTGGAGATATGATATCAGCACTCAGTAAGCCATGTTAGCAACTAGAATGGAATACTTGATCGAAAAAAGTTACGATAAAGGGTGTCCCATTCCAGCATTGTCTTATTTCAATGCGTTTATTTGCGTCATAATTCTACGATTTTGCTATTTGCAAAGCTGGTTTCTCGATAACTGATGAAGATTTCTCTAGTGGTAGAGTGTTTCAGGAGTTCAGAGGTCTATGGTTTTATGGAAGGTTTTATACAGTATCCTTTCGAATTTAAACATGTCTATAATTAAAACCCTCTAAAAATTGAAAACAGTACTTAAAATTACAAGGATGCTGAGGTATGAGAAAAACTAGCAGCTTCAACTGCGCTTCAAACCAGCGATTATCCTTTTCGAGAGCTCACGTGCAATCCAGTGCACCCACCAGGGCCCTTGTTCTGCCTTTTTCTGAGCCAGTTTCTTACTTATACATACCTCAGCGTCCGTATGGTTGCATTTCTACCATAAAAAACGAAAAAAAATGGAAAAGTTAAAACGCTGTGATTCCGACTGCAGCTTCAGCTTAAGTGGGTTCATTCCTAATTGTGTTTCCCAGAACATTTCCATTGGCTCATGATTATCAATTGTACCGTTATGGAAAAACTGGCTGAGAGAAAGGTAAAGGAAGGGCTTCGGTTGGTGCAATTGGTAACACGTGAACTCCCGGGAAGGCTAATCGCTGATTCGAAGTGCACATGAGGTTCCTAGTTTTGGTCACAACTGAGCATCGTTTTGTTTGTGTTTCACATCATAACTTTCATGAAAAAGGAATAGTAAATAAAAGTTAAAACGGAAATCCAGTCTATAGAAATTCCAACGGAACAGCAGGGGCTTCAAAGATAAAGGACACATTGCGAGAACACCATCGTGTCTACTGAATGAAATACCGATTGATTATTTGCCTTCATTTTCGAAACATGACCACTGGTGTGATAAAGCAGGAGAGCACATTTAATGAAGTCCAGAAAATCAGATTTCCACCATTATAGCACAAGAGGATTTTTAACCTGTAGGCAAAGACTTGGAAACTCTAGTAAATATTATCCCAACTAGTACAATTCGCTATGATCTGGGGCGTGTGGCTTTGTCGTTTACAGCAGTCATGATTTTCACATCGTGCAACTCCTGTAGAGGTCGAATCATCGCATAAATGTTAGCAGTCGTTCTTCTATATTATTGTTATTTTGTCAGCTGAACAAATTTTGTTTCGCATTTAGCTATCTTCTTTTACAGGAGATATACAACGAGATAATTAGAGATTTGCTCAGTCCATCAGGTAGAGTGTTAGATCTCATGGAGGATGATAAAGGAAACATACGTGTGCCTGGTTTATCAACTGTTCGTGCTCCCAATCTATCACGAGTATGTTTTCTGTTCACTGTATGAACTCATTTCCTTGTGGAGGTTAGTATTTTAACACATAAAATAGAGCACGTAATCTGCAATTGCACCGGAAAGATTTGAATTACTGCCGCTTCTCCTTGGAAATTCTTTTTTGGAGAAGTACGGCAACCGCTACTGTGTCACCAAGTGGTGCTGTCCATGAGGTGACCGAATATATACTTCTCAATAGGAGATAGAATCAGTTCCTAAGCTCCACCTTTGTTGTCTCATGAATAAGCGACCAGCTGACTGCTCCGACACGGTTACCAACGAGTGTTTTGATATTGAGAGACTATGGTTCCCGCCAAAAACAGGCGAACTATTTCCGTAAAAACTTTCCGTTGACGTTAGAGAAACCCGAATTCTACCAAGTGAATGCTCAAACCGCATTTTGGACACCAGAAGAAGGCTATATTCAAGGAAAGACAAAAATATGATCAAGCATTTGGAGCGGTTACTATAGCATTAACGAGTGAGGGGATCTTGAACGAAAAAAAACAGGCAGTATTGTTGGAAACAGCAGAATAAGTGAAGATTCCGGCTAAATATCCAGGTAATACTGTGTAATCGGTTACACTTTGCAAATGGCTAGTGCTTTAAATAAATGTCGAGTTTAATGAAGCTAATTTAATTCTGAAAATTAGAGGGAACTGCTTTCATGCTCCATTTTCTGCATGAGCATACTAGTGAATTTCCGTCAAATATTTATAACAATAGTCATCGAGGAAGTCCTTTTTAATCCACCCTATCTGGAGTCTAACTGCTAAGACCGAGGCAAATTATTTATTACAAGCTCATGGATATGCTGTTTATTTGCTTTTGATTAGTATGTTTACTTACTTAGATGCTTACATAGCTAGAGCTCAGATATAATGTACGACCTAGCTTTCCTTCCATTCATTTTATTGGCACACAGTGGTCATTTGCCGAAATTGCCGGTTGTGTCTACGTTCAGCTGTGAATTAAGGATCCGAAGCGTGATTTCAACGGCAAATAGTTTAACTTGCGCATGCAGGGAATCTGTAAACCCACCTTTTTGGAAATCGAGTACGAGCTGTTTGGTCCTTTCGAGATCCATTACAATGTCTTCTTGTTCACCCGTCATTTTTTTCGTCAATACACGTCTGGCTATTCCGTGTATATTGTTCGCGAGTTATTCCTTTGGATGCCTAAAAAGGACCATCCATCGGATACGAAAATGTGGAAATCGAAAAATGTCTCAAGTTTTGAAGGATTCAACAATTAACTAGCTCTTCTGTTGAGCAGAAAAGACGGATCTTCGTGGGTCAACATGCAAACACGATCTTCTCTCTTTGTGACGGTTGCAAGATAATGGAACCAAAAGGAGAACGGATTGGGACCACACGGCATTTGAGAGTGAGGCAACTAGGCATTTAAGTAAGGAATTGTCTCAATGAAAAATTTTTTTTCCATAGTACGTATCCACTTATGCGTTATAAGGTTATGAAGCTGAGTGTGTAACGTAGTGATTAGAAGTGCCCTACAATACTCCGAGGTCGGAAAATTGGTACCAGATCTGTCTGGAATGGTAGCAGCATTGAGTCGATACATCAGTAGCCCACCGCGGGTCACTGTTTAGGCCAGATATGCATTCAATCACTTCAAACGATGGCTTTGTTCTTTCCTCTTTAAGTTTATGAGGGTGCCGAATGACAACTGATGATACATACTTTCTTTTGTTAACTGCTAGGTGAAGGATAGCAAGGCGCAAGACACGATTTCATAAATGACAATATTTTGGGCAACAGGTTTACACACTGTGTCTTTGCAACCATGCTTTCTTGAGGGGCCAGGAGTTTCCCTGACCAATAAACGTATGCCGCGATGCACGTTTTTCCTTGATTTACATGGAGGACGATGTAGAAAATATAAGTCGAATAAGTGGAATCAATTCAGTATTTTTGGGTGCTTGTTTTTTCATAACTAACACCCATAAATGTTGAATAATTGATGCATGTGCCAGTTATGAGGATAAATTTGAACTGTGTAAAAACGTCAGTTCATAATTGCTTTACTTCTTTTTGGTTCACTATTTTAGATGCCTAAAATTAAGGAGCAGAATAACAGGAAGTCTTACTATTTTTGCAGTCAGACTTTCAGATAATGCAAATTCTCCAAGAAGGGAATTCAAAGCGAACTCAAGAAGCTACAGAAGCGAATATAACGTCGTCAAGAAGTCATGCACTTTTACAGGTATTATAGAACGAATAGGTTCTTATGTCAGGGTCTTTGGATTTTCTGCTTTCTCTGTACAAGTGCGTGGATTGTTTTTTGATTTGAGACGATCTTCATTAGTATCGCAAATCCATTCAATCAACCGTTCAATGTTTCAACGTATGAACTCACATAACTGTTGAAGTGATTCAGGTTTCACTGCTTAAACACAATCAACCTTACTCGAAGCTTTTCTTAATCGACTTAGCTGGATCAGAGAGAGCATCGAACACAAATGTGAGAGTAATTTTTTGGCATGGAACAAAACCAAATTTAACTTGAAGTTAGATCCAAACTCATCATCGGGCTACCGTATTTGGAAAACGCCTGTTCTCGCTGTTGCGAGTAGTTTATGTTCTTTAAATATTTGTTCGACTGAACCTGTTACTTTGAGTATTCTCGAGCTCGACATCTTGAAAAGTCTTTCTTTCGTCTATGGAAGAAAGACAATGGATTTTGGAAATTTCTTCCTGGTGGGTTCGCTATTATAATAATTGTATAATTTTGAATTGTCGCTTGAGTCTCATCAAATTTCTCACTCGTTTCTTTTCCTTGAAATCGTTTTCCATGGTGGTACTCTTTCTACGAGTGCAGACGGATAGCTTGTTCCGCATGCTCCTGGTCTTGGAAGATGCTTGTAGCCGCCTGAGGTCTCTATGTTCATCTTATCCATCTGTCATCAACTCTTCTCATCTCCTTATCGGCCTACTTACGTTTTGCTTTCAAACTATAGTTTCCTAGAAGACGGGTATTTCTCGATTGTTAGAACTGTGCTGTACGGTTCGATGTTTTATTGAACGGCTTGATATTTTCTACGCCGATTTTGCTTCCGAAGTCACCATTCGGGCGCTCTATTTGTAGTAGGCGAAATGTTTGAGTAATGAGACATCAATGCACGTTTTAACTGCGCGAAGGAGCTCTCTAAGTGCCGCTGAGTCAAACCAATGGCTCCCTTAAAATGCCATGCTCTTCTGCTGCAGCTGTGCTTCTGCACAATCTCTCATTCGTGCCGTTTTCCATACCATTTAACAACCTACGCGCCTGCATGTAGGCTTCTGTTAGCAAAGAATAACCCATCTCTACCTGCTTTCCATAGCACAATGGATTTTCATTAACTAGGTTTCTTCCGAAATCCCACATTTCTATTAGTTTTTTTTCGTTGAACTTCCGACATTGTCTCTGTTCATCTAGTACTCTTTGAAAAAATTACAGAATCTTACTTTCTCAGCTGGTTGGGTTCAATCAAAAGTTATTCATGTGCTCAATATTATCCATGCCTAAAGAACGGTGAAAAACCTAATCGCATAGTGTTTTCAAACAACGCTACGGTCATACCTCTTGTGTTAGATGGCCTTCAGCTACAGCCTACACTTGTGTTTTGGACATATGTACCTATGTAAGTTGCATGAAATGCGTGTAAAACACTCGGGAGTCTGCTGTGGTGTCTCTAGTCTTGATGCTGCCTGTATCTTCATGCTTTTAAATGCAACTCAAACTTCGAAGAGTATAAGGAAGGATATGACATAGGCTTTCTTGGTCGGAAATTTCGGAATATGGTACGAGGGTAATGGGGCGAGAAAAGTTGGACTAGGGTTTCCGTAATCTGTTCCAGATAATAATGGCAAATGATGCGAATCTGATCTCCTTTCATCAAGGTTAATAACGGCACATTATATTTCCATTGGTCCTGAAAGCATTTCTCTAGGTTTATAGCTTTTGGAACTTTCACAAGTATTTTCGCTATTTTATATCCGTGCTGATGGAAGTCCATAGAAAGGTTTTCTGCGGCTGGAATTTATTACTTCCCTATGTCAGTTGTATCACTTCAGATTTCGTTTTAGTTTTTTTTTCTCATGCAACTCCATTGGTATTAGAAAGAATGCGTTACGAACTTCTTCGTTGAACAACACTAGTTTTCCCGATCATTCTTTCTCATCACCATTCGTGTACTGGAAGCAATTAATCCGGAATATTTTTGGCATGTGAAGCTTTTCTACCCTTCCCTTCTGGGTGATGAAGGTTTCTTGTACAGATCGTAACTGGGTCAAATCTTTGTACAGAAAAAGCAATTATTGGATGTACACTCTAAGCACGGCGTTACAGCAATGCCAAAGACGCATCATATTGCTTTCCTGAGGCCGCCTATTACGAGGCTATTGAGATTGTTGATGAATGAGCAAGATTTATTTTTCTCTGGAGTCGTAAGGTAGCTTTACTGTTACGTCCTCAAGTAATTTACCACAATAAACAGCAAAAAAAACAAATCAAATCGAAGGCCAGAAGCACTTGGTACGAATTTAATAACAAATTAATAAAGACTAGCAGATTAATAGGCAATACTCTTGTAAACCAATTAACCAACCTCTCGTGGAACCTAGGACAATTTCCCATTGTGCGGTCCCTCTTTTATCAAGATGGTGGCAATTCTTGGCATTAGTTTGCTCTTATCTGGATTTCGCATTGAAGACGTCAAATTACTCCTTAGCATGGACGATCTTGTTGGGCTTGAAACCTTATCGTACATTATGGTTCGGCACCCTGTGTCATTTTTGAGCTACCAAAACGGAACTGTCACCTTGTGAAGTGATTTGTTCACTTGTTCAATTAAAAAAAACCTATACATAATTTCGCTGCCTAGAATTTCAGCCGTAGATTTTTCTTCAAAATGGTGAAACATGAGCAGTAAAAGAGGATTTTCACCCTTTAAGTCTGCCTAGAGAGCGTCTGGCGCAGTAGTTGGAGGAGCCACTGCGACACGCACGTGGAATCGATACCTGCACCCATGGCCCACCAGGTCTTCCATCTCTCCAGGGTCGGCAAATTGTTACCAGACTTGTCTTGGAGGATAGGAGCACTGGCTCGATACATCGGTAGACCACCGAGAGTCATTGTAAAGACCAGATATGCATTCAATCACCTCCAACAACACGTAGTGAAGTCGAATGCATGGCGCATCCCTAAGGTTCTGATCAACCCCAAGAACTTTATCCTTTATCCTTTAAGTGTGAGTAAGAAAGTTCGCTCAAAATTTTTTACTAGCTGTAGTTATATAGTTATCTATTAGCTGTAGTTTGTGCTCAATGAAGCCCCAAACACATGTGAGGAACACATCTTTTTTTCTCAATCTTTTGTTTTAACTTTTTAAAGTTATCCTTGAAAAAGCTGGCTCAGTTTTATAACTGTGCTATTCACTTGAATTGACACCGAGCACAGCTCATTTAATTTATAGTTTATGGATATGGATAGTTTAGCATTGCTCATTTTTAGAATCGTGGTCAACGTCTTAAGGAAGGCGCTGCCATCAATAGATCTTTACTTGCTCTTGGGAATGTGATTAACTCACTTAGTTCCAGTAAGCTAACATTTTGCTTTGTCTTATAAGTTATACTTTTAGTGAGAAAGTGGGTAGACAATACAAAAGCAATTAAGAAATCTCCACTTGCATCTATAGAAATGAAGGACGATGAAGTTACTTTTCGTTCGTTTATTTCAATTCCTACTAGAAAAGAGTGAATGTGTCGAATATGGTTATGAAGTAAAGCTGCAATCTCTATGCACTGCTTATAAATCGTAAAGTTTTTGCTTTATTACTACCTTACTACTTACCTTATTACTACTTACTACTATTACTTTACCGTTTGTGCTGTTGAGGCGTTTGACCCAGTAAGTTGCGCATAAGTGTACCTTTCCAGGCTCTGAAGAAGGCGATTCTGCCGAGACGTCAGCTACAGTTGTGTTGTATGTGTGTTATTGTAAGAAAGTAAACGTATGTTGTTTAACAACCTCGCGATTGCTGAGAAAGAAAACGACGAATTTATAATCCAACGCCGAGGTTAATAGAAAGTCGATCCTAGGAACCTAGATCGATAGGACTAGCTGAGAGACAGGCGAAGCGAAGAACCCGGATGGTGTGGTGGTGAAGTGCGCTGCTCCCCGGTAAGGACAACAGCGCGTGTTCGTTCCCCACCGCATACACCTGCGGTCCGGCATTTTGCAAATATCTCAGCATTACATACGAATTATATTTCGCAACATACCCTGCCATTAAGAACAAAAAGGCAGTAAATAAAAGGGTTAAAATTGTGATCCTAGGAACCGTTTTTTACTACCGTTGTAAATAGGGCGCGTATGGCACAGTAGTCGGAGGCACCCTGCAACACACACGTGGAATCGATCCACGCGCCTGTAGTCCACCAAGTCTTCCATTCCTCCGGGGTCGGCAAATTGGTACCAGACTTGTCTCGGAAGAGAGCAACACTGGCTCGATACATCGGTAGGCCACCGCGAGTCATTGCATAGGCCAAATGTGCATTCAATCACCCCTAACAATGCTTAATGAAGTCGAATGCATCCCTCAGGGATTGATCAACGCCGAGAACTTTATCCTTTTATCCTTCCACTACCGTTGTGTGTGATCGAAAAAGTTTTTTGAATAGTTTAGCTATGACAATGACTACTGTCATGTATTTTTTGTAGTATCTGCTCATTGGTATATTTTACTTCCTATAATAACAAGCGAGGAAGTTGCCAAAACTTGAATACTCAACCTCACTTAAGCTATAAACTTATAAGCACCATGCTTCATTACACTTACTTACTTAATTAGCGGGTTAGCATTTACGAATACTCGATTTCATACCTTTATTTTTCAGATACAAAAGGGAAATATGTTAACTATAGAGATAGCAAGCTTACCCGACTTCTTAAGGACTCTTTAGGTAATCCGTAGAATTTGTCCTTTAACATTTCGCTAATAATAAAGTTAGTTTCTTCTAGTTTTTTGCAACTTTTGCACGAAACCTAAGTTACACCTTACTTATATTTTTTATGTGTTCAGCATATGAATTTCCTCATTGATACTTAACTGTTGAATAGTTTTTCAGGCGGAAATGCTCGAACGTGCATGATTGCGCACGTCACTGCGGCCAGTGGACATTATGAAGAAACGTACAATACACTCATATATGCTAACAGAGCAAAAAATATTACAAATAAAGTAATAGTAATTTACGTATTGAAAAAAGCAGTCATCAATACACTTGATGGTGATTTCCAGGTGACAAGGAATCGACCGGCTTCAGCCGATCAGCCCTACACAGACGCAATGCGGGAGATGTGTCGTGAACACGACAACAGAAACATTGCACATGCTTCCTCCTCAAGCCAAAGTGGGTCTCATTAACTGTAATTGCAGAAAGTGGCACACACTGAAGATTCGTCCTGTGGAAATGTTGGAAAACATTTAAATTCGTGCTTGAGATTCTTGCAAATTTGCATTGTTTTCTTTTCACACGATGTCTTTGCATTATATGGAGTACCTAAACTAAGAATTCCAATAGCGTTCAAGAGAAAGCGATAGTCAATACGCACATTATGTTCACCATCGCTTGGCAGAGAGATCGCTCTGCATCGTCTCTGTGCCAGTCCGCTGCGTCTTCAATTACCTTTTCGATAAATGAACTGCCTGAGGATCTGAGCAGTTGACATGTTTTGAAGAACCTTTTCTCTGTCACTCTAGAAGAAGCTGCTTTTACAATGGTAATTTGTTTAGAAATTTATGTACGATCCGTAATTTTATTTTTTTTCATATGTTTAAATTGTTCATCTTATACGAGATTGTTATGTAACCTTTATTCGGTTAACATTCCGACCTCTTCGACTTCATCAGAGCCGATGATTCAAGTCGATGCTCCACAGTTGTTCGTCTTCTCGATGTGGCGACCTCATCTTCGTATCGAGTTGGATCTTCCTCAGTGGAGCATCTCTTGAACTCACCAGGCAGCGCTCTTTTGTATAGGGTGCTGGTTGTTGATAATACTAATTAGCGGGTGATAACAGCTTGTTTCTCCCGGACAATCCATCCTGCAAAAGTCCGCATTGTTGTCGGCTAGCGAAGAGCGGAATAACATTATTTTGAAAATCAATTTTCTCTTCACCTCAGGCTAATTAACCAATAGATTGTAACTGGATCATATTCTGTTCTGTAACTGGATTACATTCTCGACGGTATTGTGACGTGTGACGAGAAGTAGATCTTCTACGACAACCGGCGAAGGTCAACTTAGTGGTTGGACCAGGATAAAACTCAGTAGCACTTCAACAAGGTCGAAATTCCACCGAAAGAAACATATTCTGACCGTTTTGTGGTCTACAGACAGTTTGATCCGTGGCAGCTTCCTGAATCCTGATGAAACGATTTCGGCGGAGAAGTACGTTCAGCAAATTGACCAAATGCACCAGTGAATTAAACGGATGTGTCAGCATTGGTTAACAAAAAGCGTCAATCCTTATTTACGATAATTTATGGGCAAACGTCGTGCTATCGATATTACAGAGGTTGAAAAAATTGAGCTACGAAGCTATGCCTCACGAACCACATTCTTTGGATCTCTTGCCTACCATCTAACACATCTTCAAGCATATCGACAAGTCCTCAGAAACTAAACTGAAGCCGGAACTGGCAACAATGACTTTATTCGGAAGTTTAGGATCTTATGCGTCTGCTATACATAAAATTTTCCCGCTGACAAGAATGTGCAAATCTTATTGGTTCTCATTCTGATTTACATATTTGTTCTGACGTGAAATATGCCACTTGAAAGGTATACGTTGAGATTGTGCCACCATTATCAGGCGACCTAATATTTTCAAACTGGAATTTAAAAAGTGTATACGGCAGAAGGGATTTCAACTCCAGCATGGTAGCATTCGACATTAACGATACTTCAAAGGACACTGCCATGTCCTGTTGAACGAAATTCCGTCCATTTCAATCATTTCCTATTGTCCTCCCAACGGTTTACCGCCTCATCGTGGTTGAAAAGTGTTCCTGCATGTTGGGCTGCGACGTGCAGCGGGGAGATCGATCCCTCCAGTAGGGTCTCCCAAATTGGGAAGGAGTCCGGCGTTTTCATCAGGAAGCCCAGCTAAGAGTAAACCAGTACCAGGATCCACCACCGTCCTGGTATCAAACTGGTCGCATGGTGGCAAATCTGCTCTGATCCGCAAAGGCTGCCACTGCTTATGGTGATGCCGACGTAGGGCAGACTTTGGCCAGGCTGTTCTCGGAACTCGAATGAACGACGATGGCTAAACCTACAAATCTCCGAGGAATGGAGATTATGCTGGAGTCCGCACAACCAGTGAAGACAAGCCATTCAAGTATCAAGTATCAAGTATTTTCTATTGCAAAATAAAGTCAATAGCACTAAGAGGCAAGAAAGAAGATTTATAGATATAGATAAAATATATGTACTTAAAAATAAAAGGATGAAGTTCACTGTGCTGAACAATCCTTTAAGGGATGCGCCATGCATTCGACTTCAATAAGCATCGTTGAAGGTGATTGAATGCAAATCTGTTTTCTACAGTGACTCGCAGTGACCAGCCGATAAATCGATCCAGTGCTGATATTCTCCCAGAGAAGTCTAGTACCAGTTTGCCGATCGCGGAGAGATGGAGGGTTTGGTGAGCTTGGTGTGCATGAATCGATCCCATGTGTATTGCAGTATAATCACTGCTCTACATGCGCCATACGCTATATGCGCGTACATATGAAATAGATACATCAAGGAAATATAGATATAAGTAGGATATATATGATGAAGTATAAACAAAGGATTCATGAATGTTAAAAATAGATGTACAACAAATTTTGCATTTTATGGGTACAACTGCGAAAAATCTAATAGTCTTAGGAGATATGTCTATACATGATTTAAGGGCTGAATTAAATTACCTCTGCGTGGATTGAAGTGAATGTGTGCTGCTGCCAATGTCTTAACAGAAATTTGGTCAGAATGAAACTCGGAATACTTTGCTGTCTAAAATTGCATTCAAATCATCTCAAAAAATCATCGGGATTAGTAAGGAATATTGTCGAAGATTTCTGTTTTTAGTTAATAAAATGGCTACGAACGATCGCTTCCGAGATGGCGCCAGATGGAATGGAAGTACGAGCATATCGAATGGTGTCATTAGTCGAAGACGACCCGAAACATTGGTGTAGTTTCAATAACTTTTATAAGAAAGCAATATTTAGACGATGCACCAAGTATAGATGCAAACAAAGCAGGGAAGACATGAAAAATTCGAAATCAAGATATACCAGTTTTTCAGAGTGAAAGACACGATTTCTCTTCCCTATTTAATCAGCTTAAGGAGCAGTACATGACTCTGTCTGATAAGCAGCAAAGATTTCGGTAAAGGAAATTTTAAGTATTCGTCTTAGGAAAGACAAGTCTTTATTTTATCTTATTAATCCAGTCATAGAGTATTTTCATGACTACAGGGAACGACTTATGCGAGCTAATCAAGATGCATACGAACTGGAGATGAACCGCACCTCTAAACTAGCCATTATTCATGCATGGGAGAAGCACAGCCAAACAGAGAAAGCAACTGAGAGCATCAGTCGCTTAAAGACAGAAGTATCAGAAATTGTGCGTTGTAGGAAATGTCAGGCAAAGCTGATTATGTCGTTTCTTTCCAAATGAGCTTTTACTTCATCTATTAAACGAAGTAAATCGGTGCAAGACGACGTAAGCAGTGATTATAAGGTCACGTTCAGGATGAACGACTACGTCAGATGGTAGATATACGACAGAAGCTTGAACGAGCTCTTCGTAAAGGTAGAGAAACTGCGAAAGCAGTTGAGACAAGACTGCGGTCACTAGGTCGTTCAAAAGAACAGCATGAGCTGATCGACCTTATCGTTCGAATGAATGACGTGCAAGCTGAAAGTTGGTATTAATACCGAAATTCGTTACTTAATTCATATTTCGTTGTGAATTTCGTGCTCTGGAAAGTTTTCTTTATTAAATCCGAAAGTATCAGGAATATCTGCTGTAAACGATCTCGCCATTCAGTCGTTAATCATGCAAAAAACGGATAGCTCAATGGCTAAGCTAACAAAATACGAAATGTTGGCCGAGAAATTGATCGAGGGGCAACTCAGTGGTAAGCATAAATCGATGAAGTACTAGACATTTCTCCCATTTTTTGGACGGATGTTGTTTTCAGGCAAGGATCGTGAACAACTTGAACAGGAGTACAGATTAGTGAAAAATCAGTTTCACTATCATTTAATTCCGCTTAAAAGCATTCACAGCGTAGTGTCATGGAATTCCCTACTTCTTCCAAAGTTTAACGCATTGCCTTTGACGTAAGTGTTTTTCAAAAATGTGAGCCAATTGAAATTCTCATTCTACATAACTGTAATAATTAATACAATGCAGTTCGGAGGGTCAGGAAAGGATAAACACACGGCTTGGAAAAAAAAGCGACCCCACCCAGCTCCCTCTTATTAATGATCGAGAGCGTGATAAAGACTCCGCAGTGGACTCTTGTGACGGTAGAGGTAGGTAATAGAATTCTATCAGTGCTAAAGATGAGTTTTCATTTTAATTTGATGAATGAGCATGATATTACCGTACGTTTCCAACTATTCAGAACGACGCAGAATGATGAGCTCTACTATCCCATGTCCACTAACTACCCCATACTCTGAATGTGCCCATCACAACTTACCCCTTAACACAAAGCGTCTCCATGAATGCAAAAAATACACAAAACTTGTTTTCCCGAGTGCGTGCGAAAAAGTTGTTCACCGCACATTTAATCTATGGCTGACGGTCAAAGGTTTTCTTGCTTAAATGGTCCTTGAGAGCTCAAAAAAGAAGCTAGCCGAAGGTCGAAGTTTTAATAAGCAGTGCGGAAGTACTTCCCAACCAAGGCTGCTCCTACTTAATTTATGTTAAGTTGTCGTTATCGTCGCGTGTGCACTATCGTGTGCTATGAAGATAAAATATCGAAGTAACTACTTTATAAACTCAGTTCTTAATCAGTCAGACACTTCCTAACTAATCTACTTTTTAGTAAGTTTTTTATTTTTTTCAGATTTTACCCAGTTGGGAACTAGTAAGTCCCCATATTAAAAGTTTTTCATGCCGTGTAGTGAGGCAAAGCCTTATTTGTCAGCCCTTTTTCTCCTAAACTTCTTGGATGACAATACTAAGGCTTTTCTAAGTCCTTATCGCGAGCAGTCAACAGCCCTCATTTTTTATTGCTTGTTTTTTACTTCATTAACCTGTATGTGAAATAATGAGTCAGTGTGGAAGAACACTAACACTATTTCCTCGAGTAATTCAGGTATAACAGGTATTTCAAAAATTCCTAAAACCCAAAAATTTTAGTAGGTGGGTTTTCTTCGGGTGAAGACGCCGTATTCTTTTTATTAAAAGATGATAATCGATGATAATAGACTTATTCTTATTGACGAGGTAATCTAATGCTAAATTCTTTTAGGTGAACCTACGTCAGACTCAACACTTTCCGTTCATTTGCCTCCTCTTCGGTAAAATCCTGTTGTGATCTTTTAACAGTGCATATATAATGCACTACAATAATTAATTAAAATAGCCTCTACTGAGCAGCAAAGTGATTGTCCATCCATTGTTCCTTCTTCATACTTGAGCGAATGCACAGGTGCATTCATGCTCCGAAGCGTAGGTTCCGAAGCATAGAGTACTTATCTATACCATATATGCTGTGATTTGGTGAAATTATATGTTATGAGTGATATTTACTATTGAACAGTTTTGTATGTGCTAAGTGGTAGCCGGTTTAATATTTTGCTCACATTTTATAAAGGTCTTACCTTGAAATTTCTCGATCTTATTACGTCACCAAAAATTATTTTTCAATGCATTTTCCCACGAAATTTAAGCCAAGCTTGGAAAAGTACGTGTCACGATGAAGCCTTCGGATGATTTTTGGGTATTTCCCTCCATCGTTAAAACTGATTAATATTGAGTAGTAAGGTTGAATCTTTCCCTCAGATATCTTAATGCCAATATTCGGACTAAATAAGGTGGAGCTGGCATCAAAGCCAACGAAAAACGTGAATGTGAGCCTGTGTAGTTTTTGTTAAGGGGTGCTCTACACAAATATATAAAAGATATATAGCATATGTTCTAGTAAACATAATAAATTACGTACGGAAATATACTCACTAGTTCTTCCTTTGCTCATCAAATAAATCGAGCAACAGCACAAGCTTGTCTCCGTTGAGTTGCCGAGATTCCTAGTGCTTCTGCTCATTCGAGGTTATCGCACTGAGTCGTATTTTTTCTTAAGATTTTCACGAAGAAGGTTGAATATCTGATCGCTAGAGTTCTTACTGTGCACTCGACATTACGAAGAACATATTCACTAACGGTTTTCGTCGACCAGGCATTCAATATTGATCGCCAATGTATGCCGCATCATCTAATGTGCTCTCTCATTTTCCCGGTGCTGCATATTTTTATCGTCATCCTCCTGGCAAAGCATTTGATCCTCCATTCTAAAAACGTAACGCCAAGGTTTCCCAGTTGTACCTGAAAGCAATAAGGATCACACAGTCGAGAATATGGACACCGTGCTAGATATTCTTTCTTCTCACATGCTTGATGTTAGCGCAAGGTAGTCATGTTGCACATTTCATTTTACTCAGTTTTAGAGTTTAGTTGTTTATCACGTTGTCTTCCTGTGCCCTACTTTCATTGCTGAAGCATTTAAGAACAATTGTTCCGTCTGAATTGAATGGGGTATCAAAAATCATTAGTTTCCCACGCTTTCTCCAGGTTCAGGGAAATAACTCTTTCCATATGCGCTATTCAAATTGGCAAACACTGCCATTAGCAAAGAGAAAACTCCGCAGATTTTAGCAATTACGAATGACTTTCACTCGCACGTAATTCCACTCTTGTCTCCTAACGACGTTCTCGAGAGGGCCGCAAATAATTTTCTTCAACGTCTCTCTCTTTATATTAGTGATAATGTTAGAATGTCCTATAAAGTTGTTAGAGGACTTTGTGTCAACGGAGCGCCTTGTTTGTTTCAAGATTCCATGACCGCTACTCTCCCAACTACCCTGATGGCTCTTTATAAGTTGAATAAAGTGAAATGAAGCAGGACTTTTCACTAATAACAAACATTTTGCATAATACTTTTATTGTTTCAAATAATACATGTATAGTAGTCCTGTTGTTCGTCAAGTGACTCGAACGAGTGCCAGTAAATCTTCCATTTTTCTCTCTCGCGCGCAAGAGTAGCCCAGTGGCTTCTGGTCGCTATAGAGATTCGTCGAGCATCATATCTTCCTTCTAGGTTCTTCGTGAAGAACTCTGACCATCGAGACGGTGGTCTTCCTGCAGTGCGTTTAACATACCGAGAAATCCAGTCACTAACGGCTACTGTCCAACGGGTGCCATCCACACGCACTACATGTTCGGCCCACCTTATCTTCTGTTTGGGGTACAGAACGGCATCTTTGATTTTTGATCGTTGACGCAGATCGGAGCTTCGGATTCCATCCCTTACATGTGTGGAACAGGATACTCCTAGCATCGCCCTTTCTACTGCGCGTTCGATAACGCTGAGTGACCTTTCATCCTGTTTACGTAGCGACCAGGTTTCTAACGCACACGTTAGCGCAGGAAGTACCGATGAGCCGAAAAGGTGGGAACGAAGTCGGATGTTCTTTGTTCTCTTCACTACATCCTCGATGCTCTTGAAAGCTCGCCATGCCGCTCGTTTTCTTCTGCTCAGCTCTGGAGCTAAGCCGTTCAACATGTTGATTTGCCGACCTAGATAGACATAACTGGAGCATTCGGAGACATTCGTTCCGTTGAGCGTGAATGGGGCATGCGAAACCAATCCATTCTTCATGAACATCGTTTTTGTGAGATTTAGTCGAAGGCCAATCTTTCCACAGGCTTTATCAAAGCCGGCAAGCATACGTTCAGCTTAGCTAATGTTTGGTGTTCTAAGGATGGTGTCATCAGCAAAGCGAAGATGGTGTAACTGCCAACTATCGATTTTCACTCCCATATTATCCCATTCTAATGTTCGCATGACGTTCTGAAGGGTGGCGGTAAACAATTTTGGCGAGATGGTATCAGCTTACCTAACTCATCTTTTGACGTCAATGTTAATATCGTTGTAGAATGGTGATACCTTGGTTGTGAAATTTTTGCACAGCTCACGAAGAATCTTTATGTACTGAGTAGGGACTCCTTGACTATCAAGGGCCTCTAAGACTGCTTCTATCTCAACTGAATCAAATGCCTTCTGCAAATCGATGAAAGTGAGACAGAGCGGTTTTTTATGCTCTCACAATACTTCAGTGAGCTGTGTTACCGTGTGAATGTGGTCCATCGTACTAAATTCTCCTCGAAATCCTGCTTGCTCACATGGCTGTCCTTCGTCCAGTGTTCTGTCAATCCTGTTTAGGACAACTCGAGTGAAAAGTTTGTAGGCAACAGACAACAAGCAGATTGGGCGATAGTTACCGATATCGTGCAAGTCACTCTACTTGAACAATGACACGATCATGCTGGTCTTCCACTGAGTAGTCACCTTACATTCAGACAGGAAATGTGTGAAGAGCAGAGCCAGCGTGTTTACGAAGACTGGTGAAAGGTTCTTCAGGTGTTCTGGTCTTACCCTGTCCGGACCTGGTGCTGTTCGATTTCTCACCGACGAAATGGCATGTTGCATTCGGAAGGGAGAACCGGTGGTTACAGCATATCCATCCTCCTTTATTTCGTATGACAGAAGGTGGACAGGCTATCGAAGAGATCCGAGTAGTATTCGTAATTGATTTTCTCCATTGCCTTTCTGACGCTGTAATTGTTCCGTTTGGGCGCCAGAGAGCAATCATTTTGGTATTGTACCTGGCGAAGCTTCGGTGGGCTTTGCGAATGGTTTTTCCAGCCTTTGCATCTTCGGCCATTGCTGCTACTCTTTTCTCTCTAAGATCTTCTTTTATCGCCTCTCTGCATTTACTTGCAAATTCGGATGTTAGTTCGCGGCTGCTTACAGCTCGTGCGATTCCACGCTGGCGTATCAGCTCGAGTGTTTCTGCACACAGACGTGTCTTGGTGACCTTCGAACTCTCAGCTTTCATAGCGCTAACCTGAAAATATTGAATGAGCCGATCGTACTCTTTGTCGTTATTATCGTCAGCGGCATCTTCCCAACAGCCGACTAATGAATTGAATAAGTCCCAGTTACGGTGGTTCTGGGACTTCGGTTTTGGAATTTAGCGGCTTTTACTCCTTTCCGCGAGAAATAGAATCTTGCACAAAGGGGGCGGTGGTCTGATCCCGTGTAGAATTTTGGGACAACAGCGACATCGGTTAGGCAAGGCCTTCTATTTACTATGATGTGGTCTATTTCGTTATGATACTTCCCATTGAGAGACTCCCACATCCAGCGCTGAGGGTGGGGCTTCTGAAATTGCGAGTTACCATAGATTGTCTTGATCGCCATGACAAGCTCAGAGAGCCGCTCACCCTGTTCGTTTTATTCTAATCCGTGGG